TACCAGGTTGGAAGCAGATTCTAATCATTTTGAAAGTGAAGCCAATATTTGATGGCAGATTGGAGAAGGAGCATACAAAAGGAGAAAAGTCAAGGATGATTTTAAGGTTTGTACCCTGAATAACTAGAAGGCTGGACTTGTCGTTAAGTTGTTCCCTGTAAAACGTTTATCTTTAAAAAAAAAAAAAAAAAGTGTCTGCCTTGGGGCACCTGAGTGGCTCAGTCATGGAGCATTTGACTTTTGATTTCAGCTCAGGTCATGATCCCAGGGTCGTGAGATCGGGCCCTGTGTGGGGCTCCGCATTGAGTGTGGGGCCTTTAAGATTCTCTCTCTTTCTCCCTCTGCCCCTCTCCCCTGCTCATGCGTGCACGGTCTCTCTCTCACTTGCTCTCTCTAAAATAAATTTTCAAAAATTTTCTGCCTTTCCACGCTCGAATAGAAGCTCCATGAGGAAAGGGACTCCTTCCCCCAGTGCCTAAAACACTACTTACTGAAGGTGCTCAATAAATACCCTTGAATGAATGTGTGACCCACGACAGAATGTGAAAACGAGGATAACTGGCATTAAGTTGACACTAACAGTTTGGGCCCAGATTTGATGTCCCCAGCATGTGGCACGGTGCCTGATATACAAGAGATGCTCAAGAATGTTTGTAGGATAGAGACACACACATCCCCCCCCACCCTGCAACCCCTCCCCTCCGCCCACCCAGCAGAGCTGCATCCTGGAGACTCACCGTCAGAGGGCAGGGAGTCTCTGCGGTGTCCTGGGAAGGGGAGGAGGAAGAGGAGGAGGAAGAGGGGGTGAGCGAGCCTGGGGCAAGGAGAGAGGCGGGCAGTGAGTTCCCCGGGCCAGGCTCCAGCTTCTCCCACCCCTCCACCCCATCCTCCAGTACCCGCTCACCTCGCCCCAGTGCTGCCAGTGCAGCCAGCAGGCTCTTCTGGAACTCATCAGCTTCCGCGGGACTCTGAAACGTCAGCCCGAACTTGCAGTCGCCCAGGCTCCAGTGATGGAAGATGGGGTTGACCTTGTTGTAAACCAAGCCCGGCCTCAGGGTACACTCCAAGGTGGTCTGAGGGGGCAGGAAGGGGGCAGGTCAGACCCCCCTCTTCCAGACAGACCCGTGTCTTCCTCTTAATCCTCAGCCTAGCTGCATACCTCAGCATCCCACAAACTTCATTTCTCAGTCCTAGGTGTACCCTTGAACCCTGATCAACACCCCAACACCACTCCCCAATTTTATTGAGCACACCTCTGATACTCCAATATTTCCCCCAAGCCCTTGATCCCTACATTTTCCTAATACCCCCTTCCAATAACCCAACATCCCTCTTTCTGACTCAATAATACCCCCCAAATGTTACTGAATCTCTCAAGATATTACTATTAATCTCCTTCTGATGCCCCAATAATCTCCCAAAACACTACCCCAAAATGTTGATCAAACTCCCATAGATTTCCCCTCAGATGCTGACGTCGCCTCAGCATGTTTCCTCAGCATGTTTCCTAGACATTTCCTCATCTCCTGGTCCAACATCACTGTATTCCTTCACACCATTTCAAATCCCCCTACGTTGTTCCTTCTGAGCTCTCCTCTGAAATGCAACCCACCCCCCAAGCCTTTTCAAACAATCCAAGTCTTTCTACTACATCCCCAGCTGAAACTTTGACACTGTCCTTCCAAATCATGCCAGACAGCCTAGAATATTCCTGCTGAACCCACATACAGGGTTGGGAACCCTATTTGGCACTGCCAGATGGTCTCCCACCACATGCCTCCGTATACTTAGAGCAGACAGGGGCCAGTGGTGTAGAGCCTTCCGGTAAAGATTTCTGAGCAAGATGGAGCCACAGGAGGGTTCTGAGCAGAGGACGGACATGATCTGAGTCAGGGGTCAGCAGGGTCCTAGCGGAACAGACTGCGGTTGAGGGACAGAGCAGGAGCCGGGCAAGACCAGTGAGGAGGCTGCTGTAATAGTCCACCAGGCAATGGCAGTGGACAGGATGCGCTAAATACCCCAGATATTCCCCAAACTCCCAGTCCTTATCCATAAGACAGGTATAAGACAGGAATTCACTTCCAAACCACATCCCACACCCCGGGGTTGATTCTGGGCTGGGAGATGACCTGACCTCACCTCTGCACTCCCAGCCCCAGCCCCTCACTTCCCCATGCCCCCACCCTACCCCCACGCCCCAGGGTGGCTCACTTTCTGGTCCCGAAGGCGCTCCCCGTGGATGACGTAGTGCCCCTGGCGGGCCCCCCCCTCGGGCCTGGCCCCTCGGACCCGACAAACGCTCACCTGGCTGAGGCCCCCGCCCCCCACAGGCAGCCAGCCCCCACTGGAGTCATCTCGGGCCATCACCACGGCTCGGACCTGAACCATGTACCTGCAAGAGGTGGGGAGACAGGGACGACATAGTCATTGGGCTCCGATCCTGCTCTGCCATTCAGTGTCGGCCCCAAGCCTCATCTCCCCTCTTCATCCCTCACATCTGGATCCACTGAACCCTCAGGCCCCGATTTTCACCTTCCCTTACATACCTGCCTCTCCCTCCCCATGCCCACCTTCTTCCAGCATGGCTTCTTTCTTCCTCATGCCATCTCTTTTCTCCCATGCTCACCTTCTCTGTATCTACTTTTTCTCTCCACACCCACCTTCGTCCCTTTCCCCATCATTCCCACCCTGACCCCCACAGCCCCGGTTTTCCAATTCCCTTCCCCCTCCTTGCTCTTCCCCTATCAACCCAGTCTCCTTCTCATCCCTCAGCACATTCCCACAGCCCCACCCATCGTTCCCCCTCACAGCTGGGTGCCTGCGCATATGTATTTTCTTAGAGCCCATCAACTCAGCTCCAGATTCCCCCTACACTGCCTCCACACTCGGCCGCCCAGGCCACCGGCTGGGTGAGAAACCCAGGCTTTCTTCCCCCCACCCCTTCCCGGATTTATGAATGAGACCGGATGCAAAGCTCACTGAGTCACCCAGCAACGGGAGATGGGCAGGGAGCAGGGAGAGAACCAGAAATGGCCAGAGAGAGGCCGAAAGGGAGATGGAGGCAGAGGAAGCCAGAAACGGACGACCGAGACACGACCAGAGTGCGTTTCATTCACAAAAATCAAGCCTGCTCCCTCAGGTCCCAGCCGAGGGAAGGCAAGGGAGAGAGACTGAGGGGAGGTGGAGAACTGATCCCTCCTCCTCCCCCTCCCCGCCCCAGCATCCTTCAGAACCATCTTACCCCGCCCCCCAGCTCAGGGGACGTAGCCCTCCGCCCAGTAATCGGAATCAGCGTCCAGCCCCTCACTACCACCTAGCGCAGGGACCCTGGAGTCTCAATCTTAGGGACCCAGGCAGCGAGCTCTAGCCCCTTCCCCCACCTGCAGGCTGCCTGTTTTCCCCGGCCCTTCCGGAGGGTAAGGGGCGGTCGCAGCGCCCCCAGCCCCCTTTTCTCAATGGGATGGGATTTTGTGAATGAGCAGTCACGTGATGCTGCTTCCTTTGTCCGCCCGCCTCCCCCGACAACAGGTGAAGCAGAGAAAGAGGGCAGGGGTCCCCCAGGGCCTAGCTGGGATGGGACGCCGGGATTTCTGAATGCCCTGTGCTCCCCACACATCTGTTTCCCTGGGGGAGTGGTCCCCAGAGTTCCTCAATGGTGGGGGTCCAGTTCGGAATTTTATGAATGGGGCGTCCTCGGAGAAGTCCAGGCCTCCAAATGGAGACTGATACCCCAAATGGCTGCCGCGCAGTTTAGGGGCCCCCAACCCCTTGTCCTTCCAGCCGCGGTCTGGGGGGCGCCCCGGTGGGCAGGAGGCGCAGCGCGGTCCTGGCCGCCCCCTCACTGGGACAGGCAGTCCGTCAGCCCCCGCCCCCTCGCCCCCCTTGGCACCTGCCTGGGAGGCTCCGGCCGGGCTCCGAGCGGCGGCGACTTGGCCTCCTCCTCCTCCTCCTCCTCCTGTTCGCTCCGGTTCCCTCGCTGGCTCCGGCGGCGCTAGAGACGGGCACCGGGAGCCGGGGCGACGGGGGAGGGAGGGGGAACCTGGAAGATGGGTGAGGGGGAGGGGGCGGCTTGGGGGAGGGGTAAGCGCGAGGCGGGCGTACTTGCCCGCTGGGTCCTAGAGCCCGCCACTGACTCCAGCGAACAGCCCCCCAGCCCCCATTTTCTCAGGATCCGGAGAGGATCCCCCACTTTCCCACTCATCCGCGCCACTGATCCCTGAAGATATGGGGAAGGGTCCAGGACATGGCCTGATCTCAGGGTTCTAAAGAGGTGAGGGTCTTCTCTTTGGGTTCTAAGTGGGAGGGGCTGACTACCTGGTAGGGTTCGAAAAGGGGTGGGGCGAGAAGGGAGACTTCGCAAGGGGGCGGGGCCGGAGGGCCTTGGGAAGGAGAGTCGGTGAGGACGCCGAGGGCGCGGACAAGCGCTTGCGTCACGGAAGGGGCGGGCCCACGGTGGTTGGGCCTTCTAGGCAGGCCCGAGGAAGGAGAGGGTCTTGGGAACAGATGCAGTGGGGGTCCTAAAAGGGTGGAGTTTAGAAGCAAATTGCCTTCTGAGCGGGGAACAAGAGAGTGCCTAAAGGGAGAAGCTACTTAGCGGAGTCCGTAACGGGCGGGGCTTCGAGGGAGGGAATAACGAAGAGGGGCGGAGCGTTTATAAAGGGGAGGTGCTAAGGACAACGTTCTAAAGGGGTGGGGCCTAGGGCTACAAGGCCTGGGGGCGGGGAAGAAGACAGCGGAATATTTCAAAGGGAGATCCAGGTTCGTACGGGGCCGGCCTCTTGCTGGCTGCTCACGGGAGGGCGGGGCCTCGAGCCCGGGGGCGGGGCCTAGACCTCGGGGTCCGCACTTGCCATCACCCGCTTCACCCCCCGTTCTTTTCGGTTATTTTCTGCTACGGCCGTTCCCCGCCCTGCCCTGGGCCCAGGGGGCCGCGGTCTGAACTTTGGTCGGCTGGAGGAGTCGGTGAGTGGGAACCTCTGGGCGAAGGCGGGGCCAGGGCGGAGCTTGGGGAAGGGGGTGGGGTCTGAGTGTTGAAGCCGGCTAGTAGACCAGGAGACGGAAAAGTTTAGGAGTGAGGCCCGAAGATCTGCCGCTGCCTGGGAAGAGGGCGAGACTCAAATGATCGACACAGAGACAGGGATCGGAGGGTTAGAGGTGAGGACTGAAGGGTTGACAATACAAGAATACCGCGGAGGCGAGGCCCGACCGGGGCGGGGAGAATGGGGCCCGAGACACAATCGGGGGCGGGACCGCAGAGCAGGGGCGGGGCCTGGACCTCCCGAGCCAGGTTAGAAGGCCCGGAGAGAAGTTTGAACTCCCGGCAGGCTTTGTAGGCTACTGAGCGCAATCACCACCAATGATGTGGCCTGAGTGACTGATAGGAAAGCGGGCAAAACCTGTGTCTTGGCGCCTGGAGACCGAGGACATGATCAAAGTGTAGGGATGTGACCTGAGGGACAAGCTGAGGTGGGGGTGGGGTGGGGGCACCGGGACCGAATCTTAGTACACTAAAAAGATGGAGCCTAAGTGTCCGAATAGCAGCTGAATGGGGCCATGGGGAGAAGGCCTGACAGCGGCTGGATGGGGCGATGGGGAAGAAGGCTTGAGCGTGAGAGTCCCAGAACAGGAATGCAGCTAGAGACTAGTGAGAGACTAGTGCCTGAGCGGATCTTGGCGCACAGGGGAGGGTCTGGTGCGGACGGGTAGGACCAAATACAGTCAGCCTCGTGGAGTCCCCACAGTTTTGGCGGACTGATTAGCTGAAGTTTTTCTGATCACAGTCCCCGACCTCCGTCAGAAATGGGGAACGTGCAGTCGGAGCCGTCCGCGGGCGGGGGCTCCCGAAAAGAGCAGGCCTCGGACCGCTCCTCTGACTCCCGCCGTACGTCCCTGGTGGAGCCCGAGGTGACCCCCTCCTCCCCGGCCATGCGCCTGGCTCGCGGGCTGGGCGTCTGGTTCCCTGGCAGCTCCGCGCCCGCGGGAACCCAGGTATCCCCGGAGCCCCAGGCCTCACCCTCGCCCCTGCCCTTAGAACTGCCCTCGCCAGTGACGCCCCTTTCAGAGGAGGCAGCCGCAGCCGCGGTCTCCACACCACCCCCGTCCCCTGTGGGGACCCTGCTGTCCGCGCCGTCTAAGTGGCGAAAACCCACGGGCACTCCGGTGCCCCGGATCCGCGGTCTGCTGGAGGCGAGCCATCGCGGCCAGGGCGATCCTCCGAACCTTCGTCCGCTGCCCCCGCCGCCCCGGCAACTAACTGGAGAAGACCCAGACTCTGATCCGAGGGCCCCACCCCCTACTCCGCCGCCCTTGGCGCCGCGGAAGCCGCCACCACCGCCACCTTCCGACCGGCAGCCCCCGGACCACAGAATCACTCCTGCTCTGGCCACACCCGCCACAACCCCCACAGAAAGCAAGGTCGGGTACAGCAGCGAGGGCCCGACGGCCGGTGGAGTCCGTAGAGGGGTACCTCCCCAAGCAGGCGAGGGCGAAATGGCCCGGCCGGCGGTCCCCGAGTCCGGCCTGAGCCTGCTGTGTAAAGTCACCTTCAAGTCGGGGCCCCCTTTGACCCCTGCGGCAGCGTCGAGTTCCTTAGCTGCCAAAGCCTCGCTCGGGGGCTGCGGAGGCGGAGGACTCTTCTCCGCTGCCTCGGGTTCCATCTCTTACGCCGAAGTCCTGAAGCAGGGGTCCCTGGCTCCTGGGACCGCGCGACCCTCGGGAGTCCCTCGGGGGACTCAGGAAGCAGAAGGCGGTGGAGACGGCGAGAGGTGTTCTGGACCCCCTTAGGCGCCTGTGTCCCATGCCAGGGCCCTTCCGCCGCCATCCTACACCACCTTTCCAGGCTCGAAGCCCAAATTTGACTGGGTGAGCCCCCCCGGTGGCCCTGAACGCCACTTCCGCTTCAACGGAGCCGGCGGCAGTGTCGGGACGCCCCGACGGCGCGCAGCCACGCTCTCAGGGCCCTGGGGCTCTCCACCGCCTCCGCCAGGGCAGACGTACCCAGCTCCCGGGCCCCGGAGACCTGCACCAGCCCTGCTGGCGCCGCCGATCTTCATCTTCCCGGCGCCCACCAATGGCAAGCCTGTGAGCCCCGGGCCAGGAGGCTCACAGGAATTGCCGCCACCGCCGCCGCCCACGCCACCACCCACGCCTCCTCCCGCGCCACCGCCCACACCGCAGCCTCCCGCGCTCCAGCCAAAGTCGCTGCCTGTGGCCCGCCCTCCCACCCCATGTCCAGGCCACCTGGAGTCGGCCTTAGCTCCCGCCCCGGCTCCCACTCTGCCCCTCGCCTTGGCTGCCAGTGCCCACCCTCCCACCCCATGCCCAGGCCACTTGGAGCCGGCCCCGGCCCCATCGCCGGCTCCAGTTCCCACCATAGCGGAGCCAACGCTGCCTGTGCCCGCGCCCATCAAGGCCCGCACGCGCAGGAACAAAGGTCCCCGCGCAGCCCGGGGTGCAACCCGCGAGGATGGAGCCCCGGGAGATGGTCCCCGAGAACGTACCGCAGCCACCGTGACTGACAGCGGCGGTGGAGGGGGCGGCGGCGGCGGCGGCGGCGGCGGCGGGGCTCCTCCTCCAGCTGGGACGGCTAACTCGGGCAGCACGGCACGCCACTGGCCGCCCTTCCAGGTGCTTAACTCTTGTCCCTGCAAGTGTTACTGCCGCCACCAGCCGCGTCATCGCCGTCTACCACGCAACGTGTCCGCCTGGTGAGGGGAGGTCGTCGGGGAGTAGGGAGGGGAGCGATACCTCTTAAAGTCCTGAATCCCACCTTCCTGGATAGAGACCCATTTAGCTTGGTGTCCTGACTCCAGCTGAACCATGACCCCTTCCTTAGCTGTATCTCAAACCCAGCTGAGCTCCAATCCCTCTGGACCAAGAGGAAACTTGACACCATACTGACCCATGACAAGGGAGAGGGAACACCTAGGCCCATCCTCTGTGGAGATCTCCAAGCTGACCCTTGGCCCTGTGACCTTCTGGAGCCATCAGGGAGGGAAGCTGGTGCCAGCTGGCCTGACCCTACTTAAGGCCCTGACCCTGTCTTGAGTGCACTAAGAAGGACCATGTCCCAAGCTTTCCAGGGAGAGGGACAGGGGAGATGAATGCATGCCTCCTAAATCCTGGCCCAGCCCTTCACACTCCTGACCCCTCCAGCCTCTCCTCTTTACTCTGGGACACAAGGCTTTGATGCCCTTCCCACCCCCACCCCCTACCCCCGGTCCTTGTGCTGCAGAGGGTACACCTGATATCTGAGTCTTCAGATCCAGGGTGCAGTCTTCAGGTACACCCCCCTCCCCGCCCACACACACTGAATCTCAGGGTCTGGTCATCAGGCTCCATCTGCCCTTGGTTCCTGAGACTCTCTGCTCTGGACCCCTTGGGGTCCAGTGAAGGCAGAACAGGTTGAGGGGATGCTCAGAACACAGAATCACCAACCCTTAAATGTAAATGGATACAGCCTTGCCCTAGACTGCTTTTGTGATCCTCAGACATGGCCCCTCATACAGCTGGGGAAAGTGAAAACTAGAAGGGATAAGGGCCCAGCCCCCTGGCCATGCCCTGCTGATTCTACCCTCCCTCTAGGCTGAGCACGCCCACCAACCACCTGAGCGAGCCACCATGGGTTGCCACCATCAAGCTGGCTGGCTCCCTGGTGGCTGGGCTGGAGCACTACGATTTGCAGGCCACCCATTCCAACTGAGTCGTCTGCTCAGTGCCCTCCGCCTCCCCCTCTCTGACAATAAAATAACCATCCAGAAGTCTAGCTACCTCTCAGTCACTTGCTTAGGGTCAAAGGGATGGGATGAGGAGGGCAGAGGTCTCCGGGACAGCAGCATATCCTGGACACAGGGACACTGGGCCCAGAACAGCAGGAAGAGAGGGGAGGCAGGAGGTTCCACTGATCCAGCATCCGGACTGACGGGGATGACAGTCTCACTACCCTTAACCCCATCGGCTCCATTTGAGCTCATCTGGTGCCAAGTTCAGATGTAGAGCACAAATCACTCTGGAAAGCAGGGGTGATCATTCCTTTCACAGCGTGGAAAGGGCACTCTGGCTCAGCCAGATCTGGACTCTCCCTTAAAATACCTTCTTGAGAACTTCAAGGCAGGAAACACAGGCTTGGGGTGGTACGGGAGGTCATAAGTCACCACACTGGCTCAGGAAGGGTGGGGAGCAGGGCAATCCCAGGCCGGGGCCCATACCGATGGTCTCAAACCCGTAGCCCACAAACGGGTTCCATTTCGTAGGTCATGTAACAAACTGGTTTAATTAATTGCAAACATTTTTTAAAATTGGATGCTTCACCCCCTTCGCTGAAAAACTCGTGCCTTGGCCTGGCCTCCCTGTGTGTCCACAGCTGGCTGCCACAGTGCCTCCGCCTGGGACCTGCGCTGCTCCTCCTGCAACTGGGCCCCTTCAGTGGGCAGCTGTCTTGAGGCCCTGAGCAATGGCCACTGGACAGAGGCCGACTCAACAGAGGGTCATCTCAGACCCCACAGGGCCCCCACACTTCTAAGTTCTTCAGAGATAAGGAACTTGTCTCCCCACCATTCTGCCCGGGGAGACAAGGGCCTAGAAGAGAGAATGTCGATCCACCTTTATTGGGGGGAACCCTGCACTGTAACTGCTTTAAATAACGCAAGCCCTGCCCACCCCAGCGCCTGGTGGCTCAGACGATCATCTCCAGCTGCCGGGCGTACTCGATGACCTGTTTGGCCAGTTCCGTGGAGGGAATGGTGGTATCTTCTGGCTTCTGCTGCTGGCTGGCAAAGCTGTAGTAGTTGTTGAGGCCCAGAACCCACCCTCGCTGCAGAAAGGGAAGGATGATAGATGGGTGGGGTGATCACACAGGCCCCCTCCCCACCCCACAGAGGCAGCACTTACCAACGTGGGCCTGGCTCACTTTCCTCACTAACCCTACTCTACCCGCACAACTCTAGACCGGTAACTTCACCTCTCTGTGCCTCAGTTTCTCCACGTTTGAGACACGGACTCTGATCACACACCTTTCTGGGTCTGCTGCAAGGGAGGATTCAGTACATCAACGCCTCTAAAGCACTGAGAAGTGTTTGGCCCAGATGAACGATCACTAAAGATCAGCTGTCACCATCGGTCAAATTCAATTTCACCTCTTCCACTCTGCGCTCACCCTGCTCAGCGACCGGGGTCACTACACTGCAAGCAAAAGCCATCTCTAGGGGGCACTGCTCCTGCATAAATCTCCCAGGCCCAGTGAGGCCCAGTCTGGTGGAAAAAAGCTGCAGCTTCCAAAGAATTCTGTTAAGGAGCAGAGCTCAACAGGTACTGTGCTGCAGCGGCCACCTCCACCTGATGCCAGGTGCTGTGCTCATCCCACACGTTAAAGTCTAGCTCCACTCTACAGATCAGGAAACTGAGGCTCAGGGAAGTTCAGCAACCAGCCTGAGGTCACACAGCTGGATTTCAACCTGTGCAATCTTGCTCCAGCGTCCCTCTAGGCCACCCCACCCTGCTGTGAGCACACCCCGGCGCCCCGGCCCCTTGCCCTAGGCCCCAGCCACCTTCTTGGCGTAGTCCGTCATCTTTTTGGGTGTGTTGAAGAAGAGGATCCGGGTGGCCTCGGTGAAAAGGATTTTCTCATAGGCCTTCTCGATGCACCCGGCAATTTCATCCCTGGGGAAAGATGAGGCTCTCATTACTGAGCACAGACAACTCTGCAGGCCTTGTCCTCCCTGGCCTGACATGAGTGAGCTCTGAGCTTTCAGTTCAGCACTGATGGCTGAAACATGCTCCCTCCCCTGCTTAACCAAGGCTTGGAGAGGGTACGGAGTAGCTTGACCAGCACTGCAAAGCCAGGGCCACAGAAGGGTCCAGATCTCTCAGACCCCTGGGCCCTCACTCTGAATCCCACTCCCAGCCATGAGGACTTCAGGCTGTCTGAAACCCAGCCCGGGATTCCCGTGAGGGTATCTCTTTACAGAACACCCCCCCCCCACCCAAACACACAAAAGGGTGCTATACCCCATTTCTAGATCTCACCCTGAGAGCGTTCCTTGCTACTACTGTTATAGAGGTACCCAGATCAACACTGAAGCAAAGGATCAAATCGCTGAAATGGAAGGAGTGTTTAGCTCCAGGGCAAAAACAGTGACAGGGAATGTGTGCATCCATTTCAGAGGCATTTTCTCTCTTAGACCCAGTGGTAGGTAAGCAGACACTCATTATGTTACTCCCTGTTCACTCTGGAGAGCCAAAATATTTCTTAATTGCCATCCTAAACTCATTTTTTAAAAAATTATTATTTTTTAATGTTTTATTTCTGAGAGAGAGAGACAGTGAGCAGGGGAGGGTTAGAGAGAGAGAGAGGGAGGGAGACACAGAATCTAAACCAGGCTCCAGGCTCTGAGCTAATGGTCAGCAGAGCCCGACGTGGGGCTCGAACCCACGAACCGTGAGATCATGACCTGAGCCAGTCAGACGCTTAACTTACTGAGCCACCCAGTCACCCCAACCTAAACTCATTAAATCTCCTCTTTACTCCCACCACATCTTGGGGCTCAGTGTTGCCATCCAAGAAATGGAAACCCATCTCAGCCTGGCACTCTGCCTTCATGAACTAGCTCCACCACCACCTGGACCCTTTTAGTCCTCAAGGCACATGGAAATGTCATGCCCACCCACCCGGGTGAGGTCACTTGTGCACGCAGCAACCCCCGAGGGGCTAGTGGGTCTCCATGGCCCCATTCTTTTTTTTTTTTAATGTTTTATTTATTTCTAGGAGAGAGAGAGAGACAGCGTGAGCAGGGGAGGGTCAGAGAGAGAGGGAGTCACAGACTGAAACAGGCTCCAGGCTCTGAGCTGGCAGTCAGCACAGAGCCCGACGCGGGGCTCGAACCCACGAACCGCGAGATCATGACCTAAGCGAAAGTCGGACGCTTAACCGACTAAGCCACCCAGGTGCCCCATCCATGGCCCCATTCTAAGGAAGAAGAAACTGAGGGTTCCATAGTCTAGGTGAGCTGAGGCGAGGTCACGTGCCTCGTGGACTGGAGCACTTCTACAACAGGTAGCTGGCTTCTTGTCTGCGGAGCGCAGTCCGGGTGCCAAGCCCATGCCTGGACACATATGGGCACACGGATTAATGGCCCCGAGCGAGACGAGGGCTGTCTTCCACAATCTCGTGACCAGTTCCGGTTCATACACAAAGAGAACCGATACGCCCATCTTCCCAAATGGCCAGAACGGGATTCAACCTGGGGCTTTCTGACTCCAGGGTCCAAGCTCGTTCCGAAGCCCACAGGACCCTGGCCCCTCACACACCTGATAGTGTCGAGCAGGATGTCAATGAAGAAGGTGTAGCTCTCGGCAGGGATGTTGCCTTTGGCCAGGAACACCTTGTTATAGCTGCCCTCCATCAGGTACTGTAGACGTAGGGAGGGTGGAGAAGAGGATGAGGAAGAGGTAGGGGGCTACAAGTTGAGGCCTCACCACATCCCCAGTGCCTTCACAGTCCCCTCTGCTAGAACACCCTTTGCCATACAGTCATGCATTCCCCAGGCCGACTAGGCACCTCCTCTTCCAGGAAGCCCTCCTTGGTTTGGACACGTACACACACACATTCCTTCTCCAACCTGCCTTGGACCGGTAGCTAACCATCTTATCTATTCTCCAATCACAGGAGACAGAGCTGGATCCAAGCTCATTCCTCCACTCCTCTTCTCAAAGCTGTGCTGCCCGCCATGACTGCTCTCTCCCCCACCCTCCCTGCACAGCAAAACCCTCCCACGAGACCTCAGCTCTAGGAACTCCTTCCTAACCTCAGGTACTACGGCTCTTCCCCAACCATGCTCACCTCGTTATAGAAATACTGTCCTCTTTGCTCTCCCTCAGTCACGCCAGGCTGGTTTCTGCCTTTGGACCTTGGACTGGCTACTCCCTGTACCAGGACCACTTCCCCCGCAGATGTCGTATGGCTGAGTTCTTCACCCCTTTCAAGTCTTCCTTGAATTTCACTTTTTCGGCACGGCCTTCCCTGACCACCCTTATAAAAAATTGATCCCTCCCCCAACTCACCACCCTCCTTGCTACTTTTTTTTTTCTCCGTGGCACTTCACACCTGACAGACCACATCGATTACTTCATCTTTTTATGTACTGTCTGCTTCCTCAACTGAATGCCATGCCCGTCACGGATTTCAGCCTGTTTTGCCTGCAGTAGAGTCTGAAAACCCACCACAGTGCCTGGCACATGGCTGGGGCTCAACAGCTGCTGGACAAATTGAGCCGATGAGTCAAGACGGATGAACCCAGCCCATCCCTCCAGGAAATCTTCTCTAACGTGCCTGCACCACCGCCTCAGGCCTGCCGCTCCCCGTTCCCCGCCTCACCTGCTCCAGGGACACGGGATGCTTGATGTATACGTTGGTCTGGATGTCCTTGGCAGGCAGCCTCTCCAGCTCTGTGTGGAACTCAGCCACCCGGTTCTGGGACAGCAGGAAGAGGAGGTTGAGGCCCAGGAGCTGGTGCATGTAGGCTGACTCGGGGAGCTGCTCCCTGTGGATGGGGCGGGGGGCCGACAAGGTGAGGAAGGCTTCAGCGCCTAGGAGCCCCACCTCCTCGGGCTCCAGGGACCCTGATGACTGCCCTGTGCTGTCTCCTTGGAGAAGTTTCGGGGCCTGGGTATTCAGATGAAACTGAAGCCCAGAGAGGCACGAAGTCACAAGTCATCTGGGCCCAGGCAAGTGACTTTATTTCAGTAAAGTGACTCAGCCTCAGTTTCTCC